GAAACAAAAATCCAAGAAATCAATATGAAAATTTATATAAATATAAACGTATTTTAGCAAGCAATTAGGACATACATATTTTTCATGATAATTTTTTTTTTTTAAACAAATAAATAGGTAGGGGCCACGTTGGTATAAAAATTAGTTGAAAATCTAACTGAAAGAGAAATTGACATTGACAACCATCCGAAGATTCTTTATACGAGAGAGAGTTATTTTCTATTGTTGTCTCGTGAGAGCATCTCTCTAGAGACTTTGATGTTGATCATTGACTCAATTTTACTGATAGTGACATCAAAAATATTTTATTTTCATCTTATGCATATATCTTTCTGAGTTTTAGTGAATTTATCTTTAAACAATTTTTCACAATCATTTTTTTCTTCATATTCCAAGCACTCGTTCGCTTTTTGGTATCTAATTTGGTTTCACCTTCTCTTTGGTGACATATAAGTATATAAGATATTGGACGGTGAAATGATTATCAATTCTTAGCAAAACTATTTCTTCATTTTTATCTTCATATACTATTTTTCTGGCCATTACTTAAGCGTAAACAAAATCTTATGAAATACCTACTTGTCTTTGCGAAGTTTTTCTGATTGTGTTGTGGTGCATATCAAATTTTCTTTCTAGAATCTCGACTTTGAACCTATTCTTATTCATCATACACATATTTCGTCTTTTTCATCAAACCATGCACTAATTCTCTCTTCTCATATATAATTTATCTATTATAAATATTTATAGTATATGATGTTTATAAATATTAATCTACACAAATCTTTGATTTTGAGTATCTTAAAATGTGTAATTGAAAATTTCATTAAGTAATAGTCTAAGTTTTAAATTTGTATAAAAGGAAAAAAGACCTTCTTAAAAAACTCTACAGATTTTTTATTATTTGATTAAATTGTATTTTGTTTTGTTGGTAATTTGCTGGATAAATTGTTTTCTATTTATATTTTTCTAATCACCAAATCATATATATAATTAGTTTCACGTTTTTATTTTTTTATATATGTTATGTATTTTGTGAATTATTGTTTTCATTTATTGATAAATAATAATACCAAAATGTGTAACTTAATTAAATCATTAATGTTATTTTTAATGTTTTTTGTGATGATGTGGACATCCTAATAGAAAAAAAACTTCCTAATTATATATCTGATTTTTATTGAGTGATACATAAGTGTCTCCTCGATTAATATATAGAAAATTGTGGAGCCTCAACACATCCACCCATCCGTCTAACCACAAATAAATTCATTTCTCTATCATTCTCTAATGGTCTCTTCTTGTATTTAATGTCACAATTCTATTTATTTCATACTCCAAACGTTTCTAT